GACAAGATTTTCCATGTTGAGAGTCGTAGATTAATTTGCTTTTCTCTAGATGCGATCGGATGCTATCTGCTATAATTGATTCAAGAAATTTCCCCACTACTGACGTCAAACTAATCGGCCGGTAATTTGACGCTGATGCTCTGTCTCCCTTTTTGAATATGGGTACTACATTTGCCTGTTTCCACAAGTTTGGCACAACTCCCGTGTCTAATGATTTTGTAAATAAATTTACTGTGCTTGGGACCACGTGGCGCCCACTCTGTTGGGTGTGGCGTGGTATTTCATCGCCCACCGGAAGTCAAGGGGTAAAGTTTTAATTTTTTCTCTTCTCGTTGCAACCATGTTCAGTTCTTCAGTCCTGAGGATTTTGTGGCTAACTCATCAGTGGAATCAGTTAGCCGCCCACTGTGGCTTGGAGGTTCAGTCCACTAATAAGAAAGACGAGATTCGCTTTCTGGTGACGAGTAACCGATTCTGATTTCCGTTCCCAACTTTGATTGTTATACGAGTGAGACTTGTGAAAATTTTATCTTAAGAACATAAGAACATAAGAATGGAGGAAACTGCAGCGGGCCTATTGGCCCATACTGGGCAATCCCGTTTACACCCAACCCCTATTGCTCATATAAGCATCCAACCTATGTTTGAAGCTATTCAGCGTATTCGAGTTAATGATGCTATTTGGTAACATGTTCCAATCATCCACTACTCTGTTTCCAAACCAGTGTTTACCTATTTCACGCCTAAATCTAAATTTGTCTAATTTAAAACCATTGTTACGAGTTCGCTCCTGGTTGAATAGTTTGAGTACCTTTGTAATGTCCCCTTTGTTTAGCCCTGACTTCCACTTATACACCTCTATCAGGTCGCCCCTCGCTCTACATCTCTCGAGCGAGTGCAAATTAAGATGCTTTTACCTGTCTCTATACTCAAGGTTCCTAATGCCCGGGATTAGTCTTGTCATTCTCCTCTGAATTCTTTCCAAGGATTCTATATCTATTCTGTAATATGGTGACCAGAACTGAACTGCGTAATCCAGGTGTGGTCTCACAAGCACAAGATACAGGTTTAGGATGACTTTTGCTAGTCTTGTAACTAACACTCCTTTGTATGAACCCAAGTACTTTATTAGCCTTGTTACAAGCAAAAACACATTGTTTACTTGGCTTAAGGTTCCTACTTATTATTACTCCTAAATCTCTCTTGCAGTCGGATTTCTCTATGGCATCGTTGTTCATCTGGTATCTGGTTTCCCTGTTTACATCTCCTATACTGAATACTTTACATTTGTCCACGTTGAATTTCATCTGCCATTTTTCAGACCATTCGAAAATTTTTTTTCGATCTTCCTGTAGTTTTGCCGAGTCCCCGTCAGATTTAATAACACGTCCTATTTTAGTGTCATCAGCAAATTTACTTATGTTGCTGTCTATGCCGATATCTATGTCGTTTATGTATATAATAAATAATAATGGTCCAAGTACTGAGCCTTGGGGAACTCCACTTGTGACGTTGCTCCAATGGGACTTAGTGCCGTTAATGCTCACTCGCTGTTTCCTGTCCTGTAACTATGCCCTAATCCATTTAAGGATGTCACCTTTGATGCTATGTACTTCTACCTTTCTAATTCGTGGGGGACTCTGTCGAAGGCTTTGCTAAAGTCGAGATATACCACATCATAATTGTGCCCCTCGTCCACAGATTCGAAAACTAATGAAAAGAATGTTAATAGATTAGTTAGAGAAGAACGGCCGCTTGTGCAGCCATGCTGGGAATCATTGATCAATCTGTGCTTCTCCAGGTGATTTCGAATAGAATTTGAAATGATTGCTTCCAGTAATTTGCCTACTATTGATGTTAGACTGATTGAGCGGTAGTTAGAGGATAGTGATCTATCCCCCTTCTTGAAAATCGGTATTACATTCGCTATCCTCCAGGATTCTGGTACTACACCTGTTTTTAAGGACATGTTAAACAACTTTGCTAAGAGCATACTAAGCTCTTCCTTACATTCCTTTAATACTCTGGCAAATATCTCATCAGGACCAGGTGACTTATTAGGCTTTAGTTTGTCTATTTGCTTACTAACATCGTTACTAGTCACTATTATCTCGCTTAATTTGTTTTCTTCACTATCTCTGAATAGAGTCGGTGCTTCGGGTATCATGTTTAAATTTTCGGTGGTGAAAACTGTTGAAAAATATTTATTCAAATTATTGCTCATTTCTCCGTCATTATCAGTGAGCTCGCCAGTATCTGACCTTATTGGTTCAATCTATTCTCGTGTTTTAGTTTGATACATTTGGTAGAATCCTTTGGGGTTTGTCTTTGCCTCCCTTGCTATCCTTACCTCATTATTCCTCTTGGCTTTCCTTATCTCGGTTTTTACCCTACTCGCCAATACCTTATAATAATCCCGGAGGTAAATTTCTCCACGATTTATCCTTCTACCTATAGCCTTCCTTTGGCCAATGATGTTCTTTAAATAATTATTTATCCATTTAGGGTCATTGTTGTTTGATCTGAGTTTTTTGTATGGTATGTTTTGCCGTTGTGCATTAAGTAACTCATTATTTAAATAGTCGTGGAACTCGGCAATCTCAGATCTCGTTATCAGGTCGGTGTCATCTGTCAGTTTCATGGTCAAGCGCGACACCCCCTCTCTCAGCTGCCTCTTTAAACTGTCAACGTTTGCCCTTCTAAAATCTGGTACTTTAGTGGAATTTTTCTTACTTCTGCCCTGAAAATCTAACTGGAATCGAATTTCTTTGTGATCGCTGTTTGTAAGTTCGTTCTCTACCTCGACATTGCTAATGAGGTTTTCTCTGTTCGACAGAACTAAATCGAGTATATTATTACCCCGGGTGGGTTTGGTTATATGTTGACTTAGGAAACAGTCCTGGATCGTCTCGAGAAAATCCTCTGATTCTGAGTTACCCGTAAGGTCAGTCCAATCTATTTGGCCAAGGTTAAAGTCGCCTACTATACAGACTTTGTTGTGTATGGAAGCCCTGCCCATTTCATCCCAGATAAGTCCCTCATTGACTCTATTAAGATTGGGAGGTCTATATATTACTCCTGTGATTAATTTTTCTCTACAGTCGATTAATTCTATCCAAATTGTTTCTGTATTCCACTCAGTTTTTATTTCCTTATTTATTTCACACTTCAGATTATCCCTAACTTAGATTGCTTGGCGCCTCCTTTCCTGGTTTGCCTGTCGGTATGGAACAATTTGTAACCAGCAATTGGTATTCAACCGGTAACTCACGTGAGTCTAGGTTGATCCATGTTTCAGTGATTGCTATTATATCGATTTTTTCGGCACATACCAAGGCCCTAATATCATCCATTTTGTTTCTCATACTTCTACTGTTCTCGTAGTATACATTTAAGTTAGTCGTGTTCTGAGTCCTCTCTTTACCGCGTTTAGTTTTAAACTCCCTGTCTAATTTAGTTTTGTCATCATTCCTAACACTATTTCCCTGTACTCTTTCACTTTGTTTACCCGCTCCCACTGCAGTCTCCTCCACCCCCGTGCCCGTATGTTCCCCTAGCAGTTTAAAGACTTCGATATCCTTTGAACTGCCCCCTCTAGAGACCCAGCCAGGGTTGCGACCCCATGCATAGACAGGTGCACCCCATCCCTAGCATAAAGGTCCCTTCTGCCGTAGAAGTTGTCCCAGTTGTCAATGAATGGGACTGATATTGACTTGCAATATCTGTCAAGATGGTCGTTGACACCAACTGCCCTTGACAACCATTCACTGCCAACTCTCCTTCTAGGCAGGACACAGCATATGATAGGGATTCCTCCCTTAGTCCTAATACGATCTATAGCTGCCTTGAACTTATCAAGAAGCTCCTCGCTCCTACACCGGCCAATATCATTGCCTCCTGCACTGAGGCAGATAATGGGTTTGTTCCCATTACCAGACAAGATATTGTCCATCCTGTCAATTATATCTCCCAACCCAGCTCCTGGCAAACACACCCTCATCCTATTTTTGTTTTTACCACAAAAAGCCCTGTCCAAGTACCTTACCTGTGAGTCACCAACAATTAAAGTTTTTATACCTTCCTTGTCATCCCTGTCCCTGACTGTACTAACGTCCAATTCGTCTATCAAGGGACTGAACGAGTTGGTACACTTAGCTGCTGATGTCATTGTTGAAGTATCCTTGGTGTGTTTTTTCATCACCAGCCTGGTCTTCCCTCTTAAATGTGTCATTTTTCTGATTGTGTCACCTTAGCAGTAGTCGGTAGTCTGCCAATTGTTGGTATCTAAGCCTTATTAGGTAATGATCTTGCCGGAGACCAAGTTTCACTTTGCCCTTGTGAAAATAACATTCTGGAGTTAGAAAGTAAATTTACTATGCTTTTCCCTCTTGTGGGATCACTTGCAGTGTAAGCCGTAATGTGTCGGAGACCCTCGTAATTGAGGAAAATCCACTTAACCATATGTCTGAACTAGTCGATGAGCCTTGTGATAGTCAAGATGTCCTCTCTGAGGATGATTCTCTCTGTAATTTCTTTGATGAGACCACTTATGAGTTAAATTCCACGCTACTTCTAGTCCTAATCACTGGAGCTAAACTCATTCAAGAGCAGTCTCGTGATTCCGATTTGAAATGGAACTACGATCACCTTATTGTTGAATCTGATTTGGAAAATTTCCCGAAAGGTCTGGCCTGGTCATGTGTAAATTTAGACCCTTAACAGCACCTGAGAGACCGTCCATCAGATAGTCATTCCGAAGCCCTACAATTACACAGCAGCTGTTCCAAGAACTGTTTGCTAATATTAAGTTTTCCACGCAATTTCTCTTCTGTTTATAGAGATGATTGATAAAAATCACAACCGAATGACAATGAGTGTAAATATTAACACAAACACTGGTACACATGACCAGAGACTTACTGAGGTTCGCACATTGGTAAACACAAAGATGTCAAGGCACGGGTAAACTATATCACTATATAGTCAATTGGAGTACCTACCCGCTGGTGACGGAGGGGACGCTGTGGCGGCTCCCAGGGCGAGCAACAGCAGCAGCCAAGCCGCCCGCACGCCCATCATGCTGCCCTCTCTCTCGAGTTTACACACCTGCAGGAGAGTACAATAATACAGTGACACAAGAATAAAGGGAAGCATGAATAAATAGACACATGATAAACGGCTAAATGAATACAGGAACACATGGAAAAGAGGTCAAGGGAATAAACGAACGCATAAGAACATAAGAATGGAGGAAACTGCAGTGGGCCTATTGGCCCATACTGGGCAGTCCCGTTTACACCCAACCCCTATTGCTCATATGAGCATCCAACCTATGTTTGAAGCAATTCAGCGTATTCCAGTTAATGATGATAATTGGTAACTTGTTCCATTCATCCACTACTCTGTTTCCAAACCAGTGTTTACCTATTTTACCCCTAAATCTAAATTTGTCTAATTTAAAACCATTGTTACGAGTTCGCTCCTGGTTGGATAGTTTGAGTACCTTTGTAATGTCCCCTTTGTTTAGCCCTGCCTTCCACTTATACACCTCTATCAGGTCGCCCCTAGCTCTACGTCTCTCAAGGGAGTGCAAATTAAGATGCTTTAACCTGTCTCTATACTCAAGGTTCCTAATGCCCGGGATTAGTCTTGTCATTCTCCTCTGAATTCTTTCCAAGGATTCTATATCCATTCTGTAATACGGTGACCAGAACTGAACTGTGTAATCCAGGTGTGGTCTCACAAGAGCAAGATACAGTTTTAGGATGACCTCGCTAGTCTTGTAACTAACACTCCTTTGTATGAACCCAAGTACTTTATTAGCCTTGTTACGAGCAAAAACACATTGTTTACTTGGCTTAAGGTTCCTACTTATCATTACTCCTAAATCTCTCTCGCAGTCGGATTTCTCTATGGCATCGTTGTTCATCTGGTATCTGGTTTCCCTGTTTATATCTCCTATACTGAGTACTTTACATTTGTCCACGTTGAATTTCATCTGCCATTTTTCAGACCATTCGAAAAATTTGTTTAGATCTTCCTGTAGTTTTGCTGAGTCCTCGTCAGATTTAATAACACGTCCTATTTTAGTGTCATCAGCAAATTTACTTATGTTGCTGTCTATGCCGATATCTATGTCGTTTATGTATATAATAAATAATAATGGTCCAAGTACTGAGCCTTGGGGAACTCCACTTGTGACGTTGCTCCAATGGGACTTAGTGCCGTTAATGCTCACTCGCTGTTTCCTGTCCTGTAACCACGCCCTAATCCATTTAAGGATGTCACCTTTGATGCCATGAGCTTCTACCTTTCTAATTAGTCTTTCGTGGGGGACTCTGTCAAAGGGTTTGCTAAAGTCGAGATATACCACATCATAATTGTGCCCCTCGTCCACGGATTCGAAAACTGATGAAAAGAATGTTAATAGATTAGTTAGGCAAGAACGTCCGCTTGTGAAGCCATGCTGGGAACCGTTGATCAATCTGTGCTTCTCCAGGTGATTTCGAATAGAGTTTGAAATGATTGCTTCCAGTAATTTGCCTACTATTGATGTTAGACTGATTGGGCGGTAGTTAGAGGATAGTGATCTATCCCCCTTCTTGAAAATCGGTATTACATTTGCTATCCTCCAGGATTCTGGTACTTCACCTGTTTTTAAGGACATGTTAAACAACTTTGCTAAGGACATACTAAGCTCTTCCTTACATTCCTTTAATACTCTGGCAAATATCTCATGGGGACCAGGTGACTTATTAGGCTTTAGTTTGTCTATTTGCTTACTAACATCGTTACTAGTCACTACAATCTCACTTAATTTGTTTTCTTCACTATCTCTGAATAGAGTTGGTGCCTCGGGTATCATGTTTAAATTTTCCGTGGTGAAAACTGTTGAAAAATATTTATTAAAATTATTGCTCATTTCTCCATGGTTATCAGTGAGCTCGCCGGAGTCTGACAGTATTGGTCCAATCTTTTCTCGTGTTTTAGTTTGATACATTTGGTAGAATCCTTTGGGGTTTGTCTTCTCTTCCCTTGCTATCCTTACCTCATTATTCCTCTTTGCTTTCCTTATCTCGGTTTTAACCCTACTCGCCAATACCCTATAATAGTCGGAGGTGAATTTCTCCACGATTTATCCTTCTACCTGTAGCCTTCCTTTGGCCAATGATGTTCTTTAAATAGTTATTTATCCATTTAGGGTCATTGTTGTCTGATCTGAGTTTTTTGTATGGTATGTTCTGCCTTTGTGCATTAAGTAACTCATAAATGAGTACATGAATAAAGGAAATCGCGAATAAAATTTAGCACATAAATAAGGGGACACATGAATAGACGAACACATGAATAGAGAAACAGGCGAACATAAAGAAAGAGGCGAATATAAAGGAACACGGGAATATAAAGGAACACGCCAATAAGAAGGAACATGGGAATATGAAGGGACACATGAATAAAAGAACACATGTATAAAGGAACATGTATAAAGGAATGCATGAATTTAGGAACAGATGAATAAATAAAAATATGAATAAAGGAACACAGAACTTTGACGGGCAAACCAGCGGACAGTCAGTGCCCAGTAGTTGAGCGAAATCAGCAGACTGCCCGGTTGTTTGGCGCCAGGCATGAACCGACGACGACGGGTACTATACAAAATGATCACTATTGACATTTAAGTTATTTTATGGAGAGAGTCTTGTATATACGTTCTGGAGTGTATGTAATTACTTTATACATTAAACAGTTTATTTCTTTACACAACAGTGGTGTCAATCAATAATACTATAAAAACAATCCAACCTGCAAGTAATCTTCCTTGAGTACTGCATATGTAGCTTCACATGTTTCTGGTATTATGAGCAGGGTTGCCAGATGTACGACAAGCTTCACGGCCAACTTCACGCCATCTCACGGCCAAATCACCCAAAATTCGGCCAAAATTTTTTGGATGGGAAGCACAAGGCTATTTTTGCAATCCACACAAAATAAAAGTATCCCCTACAATATCCACTTAAAATGTCGCAATAAAACCAAATTTTCACTTAGAATTGAGAGCCCACTAATTACATAAACATAATATCCATAATCTACAGTGAAGATTTACCTTAATCTGAAATGGTGGTGGAGCATGATAATGGTGAACTTGATAACAGTATTTGGTGTAAGCAAAAACGTCTAGTTCGTCATCGTCCCCTGCTTTGTTATATTTTCTACCACTGTCGTAGGACCCTTTCCATTTACTAGTGGACATTTTGAAAACTAGCACTCGGAATTTCAGAAAGTAACTCAGATGGCTTTGTAAGCTCTGAAGGTTAACCCATATGCTGGACACGTTCAGCCTGAACAACTCAAATATGAGAACTTACAACTAAGGTAGTAACTAGAAAGATCAGTCAGCTCAGTAGGTCACGTAAACATGTGAAGAGGTGAGGTCACTGATTAGGTGAGGTCATGAGAAGGTGAGGTCACTGAGCCAGCATTTTCATTGTGAAATTTGAAATTCTGCTAGATTTTCTTCAAAATCCACTAGATGAGGAATTAATAGGTGTTTTACAAAATTCGGCCAAAATACGGTCAAATAGTTTGACCGTGACCATCCATTTTTCCACGGCCAGGAGAAGTTTTTTACGGCCTAATTAGATAAATTTGGCCGTGGAAACGGCCATCTGGTAACCCTGATTATGAGTGACAAACTCTGCTTCGATATCCTCGTGGTATGCTACAGTGACGAGTATGTGCACCCAGTTGCTAGAAATCTGGGCGTTGCTTCGAGACGGGCTGCTGCTGCTGCCTCAGATGGGTATCTTCCTTTACTAGCTAGGAGTGTGTAAAAGGCGTTGATATCCGTTCTCATGTAGTTGGTGAAATCACGCTCACTTCCATCTTGTAGTTATCGTCATATGACTTCCCAATACTTCTCTCCTACTTAACCACTCGGTACACCAGATCGTTTTCTGCACTCTGTCCTTACTTTTGTTTTTGTTTTTTTTACAAATACAGCAATTAATATGTTATACAGCGCTACTTTCTTCTTTCCAACTGTGTTGTGCATCGTGATACCGCACTCAGGGGCTACCGACCACCTACTCAACAGTGTGGACAACATCACAGTCATGCCCGTCAGACTGTGCCCAGTGGCGCACCCAGGGGGGTTTCCTGGTTGCCCGGAAACCCCCCCTCCAGGTACTGCATGTTGCGGCCTACCCATACCTGACCTGGCGACACCTTAGTAACACGAAGGTTAGGTCAGTTTACCTGACCTCACCCCACGCCACGGTAACTTCCACCACTTCTGCCATTCCCACGCACCTGAATGCGCTTAATATACAGCACTGCCAGACAGTGTGAAATTGAGAGACTGACAGGTCTGACATTACTGCACATGCACCGAGATATACCAGTGGATATAAACCAAGTAATTGACACATTTGCACAGAGAAATCCCAGGAAGATGAAATTTGCCAATGTACTTGCAGAAAAATAAAGGCAATGTATTTTACGGGTGTAAAAAAACTGCTAAGCAAATTTTATGAGCTCTGTTAATGTTCAATGTTAGTTAGTCATTGTATTCAAGTATTAAAATGCTTAAGGATTGTTACACATTCAGTACAGTAATAACCATATTATATACTGTACTCTATATTTAGTGCAGTAAATTCATGTATTTTAAAATTGTGTAAATAAAATATTAAACAAAATTATGACTTCTATTATCCTGTAATATAAGTCTATATACAAAGATTAGGATGCTAAATTACACCATCTTCAACCTCAGATTATTTACTAAGATTCAGTGCAAATGGCGTCAAATATTGGTCAGATTTCAATTTTTTTTCCGGGGGGATCACAGTGCCCCCCCCCCCCAGCTGAAAGGGCTCGCTACGCTCGCCAGACTTCTCAGTAATTTGGAAACTCCCCGTACTCAATTTCTGGGTGCCCGGTAAGGGCACAGTCCGCCAGTCACTATCCGATAGTGTGGACGGGGCTTAATAAAGAAACACATGAATAAAGCAAGACGTGGATAAAAGAACAAATGAATAACGTGTCACATGAATAAAGTCTCACTTCCCTCCGTCTGGGTCAACGCCATCTGAGTGTCAGTA